CTTGACCGTGCAGGTGTGCAGGCGTCAGAGCCGCTTCGAGGGAGTGTAGCCCGCTAGCCGCGAGTCAACTGACGAGAGCGCGGTTTTGAGGCGACACACAAGACAGATTAGGCCAGATAGCAAATTAACGCGCCCGCGCGTGCGCGCGCGAAAGAGAGCGAGAGAGACAGAGAGACAGAGAGACAGAGAGAGAGAGTGGGAGTGATAGGGTGAGACTTGCATGCAAGTGGGAGTCGAATGAGACACTTGCAGTTGTAACTTCGGCTTGGCTGTTCGGCTGATCGGGCGGGCCGGAGGGCGGGTGTCTGCTCGCCCGGCCCAGCCCAGCCCAGCCCGGCCCGAGACGATGTGGGGCTGGCAGGGTTGAGCCGACTGCGCGGCACACCGCCAGGCCGAGGGACTCACCCACAGACGAACGCCGTCTTGGCCGCGGCCGGTCTGTGCTCCGGCCTGCGGCCTGGTTGTGAGCAGTTGCGTGTGTGCACTGGTGCTGGTCGCCTCGTGTGAGTGAGCAGAGGTAGGACGGCTGAAAAACTGGCCATTCATCGCTCGCGCCGGTCAGGCCTGGCTGTGGGTGAAGACGAAATGCACGCCTTCGAGTTGTCACATGCAAGTGGACGCACCGGCACACGTGACACACACGCGCACAACCAGCGCGACGTGCGAGCCAGGGCGAGCAGTGGACTTGACGTGACAGAAATATACGCGCCCGTCTGACACCCAATAGCCTGCACGCGGACCCGACGCACAGGTGCACAGACGCCCAGGCGCACACGAGACAGCGGCTGGAGGTGCACCACAGCGCGATGAGGCGACGCCTGTTCTCACGCCGCCTCGTCTTCACCACCGCTTCACTCCTCAGCCGGAGGCGTTGATTAATTGCTGCCTTATAATTTCCACCCGCTCCCGCAACACACACACTCTCCTCCACGTCCTGCCTCGCCGGCTCAAGCCGACCCGAAACTGCACTCCGTCTAGGCTCGTCGGCCAGTTGTGATTTAAGTCGCGTCACATCAGAGACCGGATCATATCGAATCGGATCGGATCGGATCAGGCCGGTTCGGCTGGTGACGTGTGAGGTGGTTCTGGTGCTTCAAGGATTGCCCACTTGCATGGATCTAGCATGATGCTCTCTCCGCGGCTTCACACGACCCGCCTCCGCGAAGCTCCCCTGTCGTCGCCCGGAGGGAAACGGAGCGGCGTCGCAGAGCCGGCGGCCGCGGGCGTGACGGCCGTCAGTCCGACGAGCGGAGAGGCGCTGGCCACTTTCCTCCACTGCCAGGCGGGCCAGGGGGGGCCGCACAGTCTGGAGGCCTCCTCGATGTCCTCGTCCACGCAGAGCAGCGCCACTCCTTCGCCCCAGCAACTGTTGCCCGCCGGCCTGATGTCGCTCGGGCCGGTGGTCTCACCGCCACCGCCACCGTCGCTGGCGCCGCCACCGGCGCCGCCTTCGACGGCGACGACGACGACAACTGCGCCATCACATGCACAGTCGCGACTGTTTCGCTCGGCCGCAAAGGCGGCAGCCATCCGCCAGCTCGGCCGCCACGAGGCGCCTGGCGGCCCGTCTGTCTGTCCGGCCGCGACGCCAGCGGCGATCGATTTTGACAGCGAGACGTCGAGTGGACAAACGGCCTCGATGGCCTTTTGGTCGCAACTGGCTAATGCGGCCGCCACTGCTGCCGCCATTGCTTTGGCTGGCTCTGGGACGCCGCCGTCGAACAGACCTGATTGGCTGTCCGGCCTGGTCGATGGGACAGGCGACGAAACGGCGGCGGCGGCGGCTGCGGCGACGGCAGCTGCCGCCGCCTGCCTTCGCGGCTGGCAGTCGGCCGGGCCGAGCATGGTTCAGTACAACCGTGCCGAGCCGAGGCGTGCAGAGCACGTGACAGGCCCGGAGGCAGTCTTCGGGCATGCTCACGAGCAGACACGCTGTGACACACAAGCGGCTGTGACACTCCTGCACTCTCTCAGTGCGGCCGCATCTGCAGCCGCTTCTTTTCCCTCCTCCTCCTCCTCGTCCTCTTCTTCCTCATCCTCATCTTCATCTTCCTCCTCCTCCTCCACATCATCATCATCATCATCATTGCTACTTTCGCGATCATCTGCCCCTCTTTCAACTCGACTCGCGCACGTTACCCGCACGGAGAGCCCAATTAACCGCTGCCTCGCCCAAACTACCGCTTGCCCACCTCCACCACCACCCCCACCACTGCTGCCGCAGACTCGCTCCCCCGTACCCGGCACTCTTCCCATTGAACAGGGTGACAGCAGCCCCCTCGGTCTGACCGTCTATCCGCCAGGACTTTCGGAGGTGGCCGAATTCCAACGTCGACTGGCACAACATCTGATCTTTACGCGCAAAGCCCCATCTCTAGGGCCTAACTACAGCCCAGCGGGAGAGAAAAACATCGAAATCGAATCTCGGCCCAACAACACGGGTTACCAGGACGACATGGCAGACCGCCATGGATCCGGAGCCTTGAGCCTGGCCCAGCAGGCCTCTGAGATCGCCACGCAGGTGCGCAAAGAAGAGGGGATTGTGCGCCAACGCGACTGTCCGAGGGTCGAGCTGGTAGACGCCGAGCTCTGGCGCACCTTCCACCAGATGACCACGGAGATGGTGATCACCAAGTCCGGCCGGTAAGTTTAGTTCACAAAGTCTCTCATGTTATCCTCCCTCTCGGCAACAGCTCCGTCTACCCGTTCGCAAGAGACAGCCCATGAGACCGGAAAATGGTGTAGCTCACGCGCGGAGGCAAAATGAGCGCCAATGGTAGGAGAGCCCTATTGTGACATGACTTTCCAGTTGGAAGGAAATGTTGGTTGGACGGAATTCGTGCAATTATCCCACTGGAAAGCGAAAGAGGATCGCCGCGGAGTGAAGACTGTTAGATACTTCGCACAATCCAACAGTCTTCACTATGAGACTGTTTCGCGAATTTCTTCCAACCAACCTTTCATTCCAGAGGCAAAATCATGTCACAATATATCACTAAGGAAGTTTTTGAAATCCAAGTTGTCTTCATGTCTTAGGAGAGAAATATCGAATTGAATTTTGAGTCCTAATCGTGGCCTCTGAGTCCAGCAGGTATGACACGTTTGAGATGTTGACATGTCTTTCATTGCATTGAAGGAGGCGAGTCGATGGGATTCGTGAATTGGACTCATCGCAAGCCGAAGAGTGACGTCCTGCAGTTGTGACTATCCTCCAAATAGCGTACTGTGACGTAGATTCGCACAAACTGACACACGTTAATTAACCTCCTGTAAGACAAATTTACGAATTTCTTTCACTCACCTCTTCAAATGAAATTTGAGCTATGCTAGCATCACTCCATTAAGCAATTATTGAAATCCAGTCTTTCTTCAAAATATGAGCTCACTAAATCATGTGGATTGGACGAGAAACAGAGTTTCCAACGAATCTGTCAGTCATCGCATGTTGTAGTACCTTTATGCGGTGGCTGACGACACACCTTAATGGGCCGCATCGGAAATTGAAGAAAGATTACTTTAGAGAACTGTTTCTACCTTGTTTTTAAATTTTATTCGGTTGTTAGGGCAATTTAGATGATGGTACCTTGCCTGAAGTCCTCTGCCATACTATCCATGATAATTTCCAGCCTTGTCGGTCTCGTAATCAATGTCTTCTATTAGCCTTGCCATCTTCAACACCAAGCTACAAGTCGTCAAGGCGAGGTTAAACCATGCATATATAGTAAAAGGAGACGACACCTTTGTATTCATATTTATGATAACTCTTCAGTTGATACATTCGGCATTTTTCTGTGTTCATAAAAAGCATACTTTGGGACCATCGGTTAATCTCATACAGACTGGAATTGATAACAGGTTTATAGCATTGTGGCCACTGACAAGTAAAGGAGAAAATGTGGCATTTAAGGCAGGTCAGGCCTCATCCACTTCACATTGTTTACTGGGGTTGTCAATCTGGCAAGCATGGGCTTATCACTGAAATCGACAATACTACTTATTTTAGGTAAAAGTAGTTTTCGAATACAGCCAACTTATGCTAAGCTAGCTCATAGATGGTGGGAGAACTAATCTGCAATTTCATTAATTCCGTTCAACTAAGTCTCGAAAGCGTCCATAGATCATGCATAACGGATGGCATAAGGGGATGAAGGACTGTTAGTAGAATTTTCTTACAATGGTGCAAGTAGACTTAATGAAATGGTTGAATTTCATGGAGCCTGCTTAATGAAAATACCTTTTGGGAATTAATTTGCCTCACCACCTAATAAGACCTCGGCTGACTACGTTTCATTAGTGAGGCCGTGGCGTAGACCTCTTAACCACATTTTGAGGCAAAACGAACGGTACGTCTTTGCGTCTTGTTTCATTCTAGGCCTTGATGTGTCTAATACGCCATAAACGAGCGCAGCCACCAGCGCATCTGAACACAGAAAGGCATCCAATTTGAATGAAGGTTCATTTGATGTGTTTGAACCTTTTTTCGATTTGCAGAATTGCCTAATTGCCAGTGCTTGTGAGCCTTGCCACACCGAAATAGACCGAGGATTATCGTTCTACATAAGCTCATTTCTTAGATCTTACTTGACAAACTAAATAAGAAAATCGAGAACCAATCTGCCATTCTAGCAGTTCCGCCTTAGCT